ATGTTTATTGATTGTTGCGTGTTGTTGAGAAGCAGTGAAGTTTATAATGCTCTTGTCTAATATATTAGTTATCATAATCTTATTTATATTATTCGATGTCTCACCCCTTTATTTGTTTTTCCGTTGCCTTTATACTAGTAACGTGTAGGTAACGAGGAGTAGAGACTTAGTAGCTTGTTGGTGTCGGCGCTCTGATACGTAGCACTCGGGGGGAGGGGGGGGGGGGATGAACGCTTATTTGATTTTATGATGTTTTAAGTTTATTTCAAGTTGTTGTTTTAAGAAGTTGTTTTCTTTGAATTAAGTTATTTAAAAGATGCTATGTTTCCTTTGAAGTTTTAAAGTTATGAATCCGCTGCATATTTATGGAATCAAGTTGAAATACTTTTGAAGACTAATAAATTGTTATAAGTTCTTTGGATCAATATGTGCTATGTATCTACTATGATAGGTTTTTATGTTGTTGGTTTTTGGAATGACAATGTAATGCCCCATGTTTGCGGAAATTTTGGCACTCTTATTTTAATATAACTGTGGGGTAGATTTGGGGTGTTACACATGATCCCTCATCACTATGCAACATGCGACATCATATGCAACAACATAACTATACAACCACAAGGCATAAGCCTTCAAGATTCCTCAATACAGACCATCATCATCGTCATCATACAACATAAATTACACATAAAATCCCATGTTTTAAACTTAATTTATTATTACTACTAGCCTTCTTATTCCCACCTAAGCCTTGCTAGTCATTATGGATCAAGATAGTATACTCTATACGCGAAAAGGGAAGAAATCTCTAAAACGGGAATTTTTGCACCTTCGCCTGTCCCTACGCATAATGTTGCATGCGTTACGTGTATTTCCTTGATGCCTGCCCTGACTTACGTGTAATTTTGCCTGCATTAAGAGTAATGCCTTTTGTCCTGCCATGCCTTATGCTTAATGCTGCCTACATTACATGTAATGCCTTCTGTCATGCCCTGTCTTACACGTAATGCTGCCTACGTTACATGTAATTCCTTCAGTCCTGCCATGCCTTATGTGTAATGCTCCTACCTTACGTGTAATGTTGCATGCATTACGCGTAATGCTGCCCGCCTTACGCGTAACGCTGCCTGTCTTACGCGTATCGGCAGTCTGTGACCAAAAGAACTCTGTTTTTCGCATCAGAATGATTTCTACTCGTTTTGAGCACTTTGAACCTTCAATATTGGGTCCAAAACAGCATGCTTTCACATATTAACTTAGGGATTTCATTCTACTTCATTATTCTACAATCCTACACAAATTTCTACATTAATTCCTTCAATTTTTGTCACATCCCTAGATCTACAATTTTCACATTTGAGATTTTTATGAACAACATAACAATAGTAAAAACCAGCAGCAACAACATGTTCATTGCATATATTGGATCACGAATTTCACACAAAAATCACATGGAATCACATAATTCAAACTAAGAAGATATTCATCAATTCATTCATGAAAAACCTAAAGAGGGAAAGGAACCCTCACTACCCTCTCATGTTAATATCACCAATTTAGAGAACCCATTCACCACTTACCTTAATTTGCAGCTTTGGTCTTCTCAAGATTGTGGATTCCTCTTTGCCCTAACTTTTCCCTTCTCCTTGCCTTTTCTCGTTCTACGATCTATTTGTCGTGTTCTCACTTTTTGTTTTCTTATATCGATCTTTAGACCCCTAATGTCTATATCCCAAAAATGCCCTTCCTCAACTTAATTACTTATTTAATTATTAATATTATAAACACTATTTTATTCATAATAATTAATAATAAATAATATAATAATAATACCAATATTACTAATATTCTCTATTCACCCCATGTTCTCTACACTTTTAGTCATACACCCCTCAACACCTCAACTTCTAATTTTCCCAAATTGCATCACATCACATCACATCATAAAATATATCAACACAAATAAACACATCATATCATATAATTATTTTAAATAAAAATAATCCTAATTAAGTCGGGGTGTTACACACGTCCTCGAAGGAAAAGTCAAGGCAAAGTTTTACGACCAGCTTAATGACTCGTGAGAAAAGGCAAACGCTCAACGCGAGCACAAGCTAAATTGTCAACCACAATCCCAGCATGACACGTCATCCTCGTAAGAAAAATACAACAAGTTGCAAGAAAAATATTTCCCTTGTACGCACTAGCTCACAAACAAGAAACATCCATGGTGAACACCATCAACGCAAGCTTGACATCGCGAGCCCAAATGAAGGTTCACTTTGTGCAGAGTCTCTTGCTCATCCTCTACACAGGCTAACACTAAGTCATTACTCCATTTCCTATGAGCAACGATTTGGGGGACTCCTATTCTAGAGTGGGCCTGCGGTTGGCCCACCGTCGGGCACAATCCAATCCAGCTCTATGTCGAGGACAACCCAAAGCACTGGCCCAATCCAAATAGGCCAGTGGAGAACATGTTCCTCATGTGTTCCTCACTCGAGGACACATCACTAACCACACCAGCACGCTTCGCGTGAGTGGTTTAATTGTTCTGCCCTTCGTAACACGCAAGTTCGTCCATTACCCATGGATAGCGGTGCGGTTGAACATGACCATGATCACGTGCTTCTCATCCCCACTTTCAAGTGGGAATCCTGACAGTCATCCATTATGGACTTGGATACTCAACCCATAATGGAGACCATTGGCCCTGCAGTGGGGGCTCACTATAAATACCCTCCTCTGTGGGAGGGTCAGGTATTTAACTCATTACCCTTTCTTACTCAACTCTCACCCGAACTGAATTTAGCATCAGAATGTCTCTAGGTACACCCATCCTCCGTTGATCGTCAAGCTCGCGGGCGTGTCACTGGCTACACATATATTTTCTGATTTGCGGTAATATCAGTGGTGCCGTATATGGAAAACCTGTTTCCCCGTCTTTTCTTTCCCTGAAACCAAAAGATTAAACCAAAAAACCTCACAAACTGATCATGGATATCCAGGACAAAACGAACGGCAGTTGCAAAACTGCCATCTCTCCTATCTCTGAACCGTTAATTTTACCAAACACTTCAATTAGTTTATCAGCTATCAGTTATCAACCATCATCTATAAACTATAAGCTATCAGTCATCAGTCATCAGCCATAAATCATAAGCTATTAGCTAACTTATCAATCAATCGCTATTTTTATCAAACAGAACCTTTATTGAATACTTTTGTTAGCACTTATTGTGCTAAAATATCTATTTTTATTAATAATATTTTTTTGACTAAAAAATCTAAACAAATTCAATGAATAAAAATAATAAATAAAAGATATTGACTAAATTACATTTATTTTACAATTGAGTCAAATCCGGACATTAAAAACCACTGTTTTATAAATAAATAAATAAAAGTATGAGAAAAACATTCTAATATAATTTTAATTGAATTGCTTAATTTTTTAAATATTTTGATTATAAAATATATTTCACACATAAATTTAATTTAATGATAAAGGTATTTGAATCAGATGAATGTTAAATGTCTCTTTCAATTTAACGAGAGGTTTTGAGTTCAAATCTAATAGCGTTAAATTTTGAAAATGAATTTTGGCGCCTAATGTAACCCTCGTTGAAGAGAAATTAATTTTTATAGAGGATATTCAATTTATAACACAAATAAAATAAAACTAAAGTTAAATATGTTTCTAGTCTTCCTAAATATCTCATATTTTACTTAAGTCTTTTAAAAAATTTCTTTAAAAAATTGTCCTCTTAAAAAATTCTATTTACACTTTTAATCCCTACTACAACTTCGCGACAACTTTTACAATTTAACGACAAAATTTACGATAGTTTTAACGATGATTTCTACTTAACAACTGAGTTAGTGACAGATTTAATAAGAAAAACAAAAAATGTAAATGACAATTTTTAAGAAGACTGTTATTCAAAAAAAATTTATAGACTAAAAGCAAATTGAAATTATTTATTGGGGGCAAAAAAACATGTTTAACTCATAAAACTATTTACTATATTTTCATATATATATATATATATATATATATATATATATATATATATATATATATATATATATATATATATATATATATATATATATATATATATATATATATATATATATATATATATATATATATATATATATATATATATATATATATATATATATATATATATATATATATATATATATATATATATATATATATATATAAAAGAAGCAAAAATGTATAAAAAGAGATTCCAAATATTTCTTTTAATTTAATCATAAGATATAGTTCAAATTCAGTCTTGAAAATGCATATAGTTCAACTTAGTGTGTGGATTTCAATAGTAAGGACTCATAGTTCCGTCGATAAACTCTAATATCATATTAATATATGTTGATTGGATGTAACTCATTCATTAATAACCAATTTAAAAGATGAGGAATGTCGCACTGTATAAAATATTTGCAAGTTCTATCTCTTACTAATATAAGACTTTGAGATTTTCTAGATAATTTGAATTGCAATTTATATTAGTAACAAAACCTACATGCAGTTTTAGCTATGGAGTTTTTAGTAGTAACAAAACATCAATAACAATTAATGATGACTAAAACTGTCCCAATTTGTTAAGCCAGTCTCAAAATTCTTGCAAACATTAAAGGAGGTTGGATCAATGGTTTTTCAAAGCATAGGCAACACAATTTTGCAACGATCTACAAACAGTCTCAACTATGGTTTTGCGGCGGTTCAAACTACCATAACATCTGAAAAAAATAAAAATAAAAAGTATGATTCATTGATTGTGATCCATTATACTGTTTTGCAAGTTTTCATTTGTGAAGATTTGTGGAGAATGATTTGCACCAAAAATCCAAAAAGAAAGAGAGGTTTTATTTCATAAATATAATTGATTGAAGCCAATGACTACATTAAGATTCAAAGTTCTTAATAATACATTAATACGTTATTCATTTATAAATTAAAATATAAATCAAAGCTTAAGATTCAAATCAGTATTTTTGGATGCTTCCTCCTCTTGAGTCACTTTGTGTTCAAGGGCAACATTACTATCAGCACCTCCCTCTGAAACCAAACCAAATTCAATCTCTGTCATTGGAACTTGTCGACTCACAGTGTCTTGATTTATCTCTGGAATATGCTGCAATGTAGAACCATGCAAATCATGTGCATCAAAACTTGGTGACCCTACAACATGCTGGTTCAATATGTCAAATTCATAATATTGATATCCAGGCCCCACATTACCATTAGAGAAAATTTCCCAAGCTTTGTTCATAGTTTCATTATTTTTTTTGAGTTTTCTCTCCGATTTATGGCAATGTTGGTGTCCACCTAATGCTTGTGGAGTAACAAATTTTTTGCTACAAAAGTTGCAAGAGTAAGCTTTTTGATTTCCCTTAGTTGGATCAATAATGAATCCAAAAAGAAGAAATGGAGAATCTTCTTCACCAAAATTATTCTTAAATTCGACATCCGGTTCTTCTTCCGATGCCCTAACTTTTCGCTTGTTCTCGTTGTTCTGATTCTCCTCCATCCTCGGATTGGTTCCTGATTCTTCATTTGCTTTTTCCTTTCCCTTGTTTGAATCATGATTAGTGTCGCACATGGCGGATCGAGAGAGATGGTTTTTGTAATTTGATAATGGGATTTTGATAGACGAATTAGAGTGTACAATTTATTCAAATTTAACGACATCCATTTAGAGTAGATATTTATGTCAAAATTTCTAAATGTCTTTTCTTTTTACATATAACATAATAAAATTTATACAGAAATAAAAGACAAATAAAAACGTGCGGCGCCACTAGTTTTGATTAGTTTTTGCACATTGTAAATAAAACAATTTTGAAAAAAACATTTATGAGTATTAGATTTGAAATAATACACTTTCTCTTTTTTTAAATAAATATTTTTAAAATAAATAAATTTAGATTAATTATTATGGTTGATACACCTTTATCAATTGCAAAATTCAATACACGAACTCAAATCACAATTGTAACTACAATGATCAAATTTTTTTTTCAATGAACATGTATTTTAAAATAATTTGCACAAAAGATATATTCGGTCAAAAAATATAATTAATTTATATACATGTATTTTAATATTATTTTAAACAATTTTTTTTAAAATTTTTGGTTTAGATTGGTCAAAATAGTTCTAGATTATCTAGGAACCCAGACTAAAAGTAGTTTATAAACTACAACCATACATCTCAATCTAACAAGGTGTCTATTAAAAAAAAAATCATAAGAGTTTTTACACCTAAAACACACAATATCTCATAGTAATAATGACGCTGATTTGAAGTTGATTTTGAAAAGGATTAATGTGTAAGTTTTGTGTTGAAGATAATTAATAAGTAAAATTTAAATATTTTTCGTCTTTTTAATAATTAGTAATGTATATATAAAATAGTTGATAAGTTACGAGTTTAATTGAAAACAAAAAGTTTAATATTTCCCCTTGTTTCTTTTCAAGTGTCGGTTTTTAAAAAGAAAACAAATTTAATTTTAAATTTATCATTTAAAAAATATAAAATAATATTAATCACGTATAATTTTTTTAAACTATTTATGGCTATTTATTAAAAAGAAAAGAAAGAAAGAGAGATAAGAAAGTTACAAGGTGCTTAGTATTACATTTCTTTTACATAAAAGTTTAGATGAGTTACACTAGAGTTATAGGATAGACCTCAAGATTTGTTAAATGAGATACATACAAAATTTATAGAGGTTTAAAGTTTAGCTATAACGCTCTGAATATTATATTTTTTATTTAATAATGTTGTTGTGATTTATTTAATATAATAAATGGTTTGATGATTTGTTGTGGGGTACTGTTAAATTAATAAGATATTAGATTGTTAGTAAATTGAATAATTAATTATATTTATTTAGATTTATTTTAATAATTAAATAAGGGATGATAATTGGTGTGGAGGCACTAAGGGCATAACTGTAAAGTTGTATAGAATAAGTGAGGGTAAGAATGGGAAAACCAAATAAGAGTTCAAGGGGTAAGAAGGACATTAGGAAAAAGTGAAGTTGAGGTGATCATTCTGTACAATTGCATTTTGGAGAGAAGAGAAAAAGCTAGGGCAAGGAGAATCATTTTTGAAGCTTAGGAACCGTCAATCCAGGTGAGGGTGGGGTTCCAAGTTTTTAAGGATTTTGTATAGTGATGGGTATGTCAGTGTTGTACCCCAAAATTTGCCCTCTCATATTTCTCAAAACATTGCAAGAAAGATCCTCAAGTTGCTCAAGGTAGCCCAAGGGTTGGCCAGACAAGCTCTTTCCTAAGGCAGTCTACCCCAAACTAGGGTTTCATGTTGCATCAAGATACTTAAGTCTAAATGATCCCAAGTACTCACCAATGTCCTAATATATTCTAAAGATCATCCATGTCAAGTTTCAAGCCTTGCAGAGAAAGTTTGCTCAGTCAATTGCTTAAAGGCCTAAAAATCGACTGTGCTAGGGCAAAAGCCAACTGTGGCTCACATACAGTCAAACTTCAAGATTTTTGGACAACATCCTCATTTTGAAGTATATTTCATCATTTGATCAAGAGTTGATCATGATTCAGCAAGGATTGCTCATAATTCATCAAGACTCAAAAGTTGCTAAATTAGGGTTTTGTAGGAAAAGTCAACTCAACTTTGACCAAGCATAACTTTCTCATAATTTATGAGAACTGACCCATCCAAAGCTAATTTTAAAGAAGATGTAATTTCCTACAATCCATATTCATCTCCCAAGATCAAAATATGCACTCACAAGAAGTTATGAATTTGGACATTATAGGCCATTTTGAAAAGTCAACAAAGACACATTTTTTGTCAAAGCTTCATACATGAGTATGGAATATCAAAATAAGATGAGACCAAAGGGTTGCTTAGAGGACATCTCAAGCTGTATAAAAAGTCAAAGAACACCTCCAAAGAGTCAAAATTGAGGAAGTTATGCATTGGTGAAGTTGACCTTTTTTGCAAAATAGCCAAAGTCAACTATCCCTAAAACTTCAATTTTTGCCAAATAGGCCCAATCTTTTTCACTTGTTTTGAGTTGGCAACATAGCCCACGTGCTATCTCTCTCTCCCCTCCTGCCCTCGCGAGCCCTACTATCCCCCCCTTGGCACCCCACGATCTCCGGCTTGAGTTATCAAAATAAATCAAATAAAATCCAAAACATTGATAACAAGAGATTTTATGATTGTTTCAGGTCTTAAATTACAGATACCAATCATTCAAACTCGTGTAAATGCCTAGTGTGAACAAAAAGATTGATTTAGGCCATGTTTGGAAAGTTTTTAAAGAGGAATCAAATCAAATCAAAAAGCATTGAAGAAGGAAGATTTGGATGCAGCTATCAACCCTAATGCATTGCTTGATACATAAGGAGGCGAGGCAGACCTAAAAAGTGGTTAGAGACAGACCTGAGAGGAAAAACAAAATCTGAAAAAATCAAGGAAAAAGTGTGAGATCGAAATCCCACTTAGAGACATTCTCAAGGCACTTTGCTGATCCCAATCGCTTCCTAGCACTCTCTAGAAGCTAAAGCCATCAAGAACCTGTCCATTCCAGTCCCTAAACACACTGTAAGTCGTTCACAACTTCGCCCTGTTCTTGAATTCGTATTTCATAATATAGGCATTGTTAAGATAAATTACTTGCATATTCTTGATCTATGAAGTATTTGCAAGCTTTCTGCATCATTCAATTGCGTTTATATGGCATGTAGCATTAATCACCATTGCTAGGTTTTCGAGTTTGGTTTTAGGGCTTTTGATTGCAGGGACAATTGGCCTCTGTAAATGGTACCGTTGTGATCAGGAGGACGAAACATACTCAACCATGGCTTTAGATCTTATTTCCATGGCCTGTGGAAGATTTTGGGAACATACAGGCCTGTAGCAACGGACGTTGTCCGTAGGTATAGGTGTTCCATCTTTTAGCCAAGGAGAGAGGGAGAAGACAATGAGTTGTCATTCGATCATTGGCCCGTTCAAACGATTCAGCACGCGTTTTTTTTAATTTTCCAATAATCCTTTGTTTCATATATTATTGTTATTTTCCATTATATGTATAACAAAAACAAATAGCGCAGTGGTTTCAAGGTAGATGCTTAAGGCGTGATAAGGCTGGAGGTCAGGGGTTCGATCCCTGCCTCTAGCATTTGCCATTTTCTTATTTTCTTTCAGGAGATCCAGTGCACGCGCAAGCCAAGAGACCACCATAGGTCTTCATCATCAATCACGCCAGGTGGTTTGAGATCCAGATCTGATGGCCAGTAATGGAGGAACACCACGAGCCACAGTCAACATGCAGCACTGGATTTCAAAGGTCAACGTGGACCTTCTCTTAACGGGCCCAGATTTCAGCTATTGGCACCCCAAATTCAGGCCCATCTCTTATTCTTTTCTTTTTATATTTCACTTAATTATTTTATTTATTACTTATTTACTAATCAACCAAAATAATTTTCTTTTTTCTCAAAAAGTTCACAAAAAATATTTTTATGTCCAATTAAAATTAGAATTTTAGTTTTTATCAATTAATTAATTAATTAAATTAGGTTTGGTTAAATTAGAAAACTTTAATTTCTCTTTTTGCAAATAATTAAAATTAATTAGAATCAATAGGTTTTTATTACTAACTTAATCATTTTATTTTTTTTTCCTAAAATAACAAAAAAACCAAAAAATATGTCATTTAATTATTTTCATTAATTTTTAATAACCAATTAATTTTGCATTTAATTTCGAAAAACCTAACTTCTTTTCTTTAAAAATATTAAAAACAACAAAAAAACATTTTCCTTTTTATTAGGTTAGAAGGGTCAAAACCCTAGTTTCTCGTCGATCTAACTTTTAATCGCGCGCTTTATTATTTTGCCAAATTATTGTATCTGCTCCCGGTTTGTAATAATTTAATTAGGATATTTATTTATTTTTTACCGCTTTTAATTTCAAAGGGATTATTTTTGGCTATGTAAATACCCGAAGCCTTGTAATAGCTTAGTTTAAATTCCACATTTTAAATTCCGCAAATTATTAACTGTTAGATGTTTGATAATAGGGTTTGCATGAAAAGAATGTATGACTAATTTTAAACAGTTTGATCACCTTGAATGTGCAAAGATAATAAACTTGAAATTGAATCACTCGTACATGCGCACTCCTAGGGTACACTCCCACTTGGTTGCCTTCGGTAAACAGTCATTGAGTATAGGTTGTTTTAGAGGTCGCCCTCTTGTCCCAAAGATCATAAGTTGCCTCGGAAAGGTTGCCTCGGATATTGTTGCCTCGGATAAATGATCTAAGACATTAGGGTTACCACTAAGACGTCCTAACGTTGCTTTAGTGACTGTATGTCCCTTTCGAATTGACCCTCAAAACTCCAACGATGATGCTACCTACTCACTAATAGTGGGATAGTGTTGTCTAAAGGAAACAAGCATAAAACGATTCTTTTTTCGAGTAGGTAGATTAGTTCTTAGATACTTGCTCATTCCAAACAATTTTTTTACACTTACACTCCTTTACAAACAAAGTTTTCAAAAACACTTCATTACACTCTTGAAGACAGAAGTAAGAGTTAAATC